CGCCGCGCCCCCCCCCGGCCCCGCAAAGCACCTGCCCGAGCCCTCCGCCTTCCTCCCCCGGTCCCCGAGGCTGCCGGGGTGCCTCAAGCTGATGCCAGAGCTGCAAAAGCTTCGGGTCCGAAAGGTGCGTGTCCCCGTCCCCGCCCCGGGCAGGGCACAGCACCCCCTGCGCCGTCCGGTCCCGTTAACGGAGCCTCCGGACTGCGAGGCGCTCCGGGCAGCACCGCCGAAAAAACCGCTTTCCAACCCAAAATCCAGTGGCGGGACTGACGCTGCTCTATCCTCCTCCATCCCTAGGCCATAACCTGTCCCGCTCCGTCCCCGCCCGTGGTCCCCGGCGCTGGGGACAGGAGGGGGAGCTCTCACCGCAGCAGAGGGGGCAGCCTGAGAGCGGAGCTCCAGGGAAATGGAACTCCAAAGCGAGAGCAGAGCCTCAGGGTGACAGAAGAAAAAAAATCAAACGCCACCGAGATACCAAGGAATGATTTCTCCAACCCCTGCTGGAGACAGCCGGGGCAAGGCAGCATCCCAGATGTGCTTCAACAGAGCTGAACTCTGCCTGCGGGAATAAATGAAAACCCTCAGAGTTGGTCAGAGAACCAACACACCTGGCTTAAGGTAAACTGAAGAAAAGAGGAAAAAAAAAATTAAACACTTTTTTTTCCCTAAGTTAGCTCCATTCCCTTTCTTCTAAAAATCACTGGTACAGAGCCCAGTAAAAGTACAGATTGGTACCCAAAAGACAACTCAATAGTTTACCAAAGGCCCTTTCTTCTAGCTCCGGACAACAGCAAATCAAGTTGCTAAAGGTACTAAATTCTAAAATTTTTTTTGCCCTCTTAAAATTATTTTGATCACCACGTATTTTAGCAGTATCAGCACTAGCTAACAACTTCCTGCAAGTCAGGCCATTCCCTAAAAACAATCATCAAAAAGGAGTGAAGTTGCCCTGACGACTTCAGCAACACAGCCAATAAAATGGTGCCTAAATTTTTAGCTTGTTTGAAATTTATACTAATTTTAATATGACTTCTCTTAAAAAAAAAAAAAAATCAAACCATTAAGCCTTTGGGTAAATTCAGATTATCTTCAGTAATGGCTAATTCTGCTAGAGGTGGCTCTTTTCCTACTTAAATCTATCCAGAACAACACTGTCTTATTTTTGTGAGGTGGTATAATAAGTCTGGAAGAGGAGGGAACAGATTTTGTCAAATTTAAAAAAAAAAAAGCTAGAGCTTTAAAAAGTATATCTCACCTGAAAATTCTTTAGATTGGACAACTTAAACAACAGTCTCAAATCAAAAGGACTATTTGCAAAGCTCATTATGGTTTTTAGGATTGGCCGTGACAGTTAAAGTCAGAGCCAAGAGTTGGGAAAGTTTTAAAGAAATCACCTATTTAAACCACTCTTATTACATCAGCAATCCTTGACTAATGTTTGTCTACCGATCCTGTTTTAAGACCTGCCCTAATTGTCAAGACCAGGGCGGAGAATTTAAGGGATTTTATTCAATACAATCAGAACATCAGAATTATGCTCTCACTCCTGAACAAGAAATTTTTAAAGATTGTTCACCACCTTGAAAAAGGTTGGTTTTATTTATTTTTAATGGGATTTTTCTACCTATAGCTCATCTGTGCGAGAAGTTGCAGAATGCCCTGGAGCAGCTTTCAGCTTTTAATATTATGTATGCTGAATCCATTTTGCTTGCTGCTGTGCTGTTTAGCACAACTGCTCCTCTCTTGCTCACTTCATTGCTCATGTATCTTCACATGACAAAACAATGCTATGAGAGCTACCAAGGGACTCTTTTGTTTGCCCAAAATTGAAGACACATGCAAGAAAGCATGAAGTCAAAAAGAGGCCCTCCTAACACATCTTTTCTCTCCATCTTTAAAGTTCATAGAGTTTTTCCTCTGATCTCCCATTCCTCAGAAATGTATAATTGTACTCAAATGGTACCAAGCTTGTACTAGGAGTCGCATTAGTTTGTACTAGTGAAGATGGTCAAGGATACTAGTGAGGCAGTGTCTTTAAGGATAGGTAACATGTTTTGTTAATTGTGTTAATTAGTTTAAGACATTACCACTCTCCACAAACCTTGCACTAGTGTTCTTTGGGGTGATGTCAGTTCAACTGACATTACCTGGTTGTACATGGAACTAAAAAAAATCTGAATGGCGGGCATTGTATAAGAGCAGTGTTTTTCTGCAGATGTTTCACTAGAACATTAGTTTTGTCTTTCTCATTCTCCATACTAAATGCAACTATGGCACAGCTGAGGTCAATATTTACTTGCACCAACTCTACCAAACCTAGGTCATGCTTCAGTTTACAGAACTCTTAATAAAATAACCGTTTATAAAGCAACAACTAGAAATGGAAATAGTTGGATTGTCTAAATTTAAGAGAGTGGATTCTTCCTTACTGCTGCATTCTCCTTCCATTTATTCGAAGTCATTCAAACTCTAGAACCATGGAGATTGTTTCCTAAGCAAACCAGCTGGGCTTTATGAGAAGCAATTTATGACACAGTACATTCAAGTGGGAATGTTTTGGGTTTGGCTTTTTTGTTTGTTTGTTTTGAGACAAACCAAACTCATGCAAAAATAAAGCAAAATCCGGTAATTCCAAATTCTTTCTCAACTTCATCATTCTCTGATACATCCACAGAACCCTGTATGCCTCAATATTTTCCTGTATGCAAAGGAGCCACCCTAACGCTGGCCTCCTCCTAAGGGTAACACCTAAGAGCACGTTGGAATCCTTTGATGAAAGACACTAAGGAGGCAAAATGAACATGAAGCACCTCTTGCTGTTCTCACGGTAGAGCAGCCTATAACTGATGTACAATACCTCACCAATCAAACCCACGGTTTTGATAACAGTCCCGCAGAGACGAGGTATGTTTTGGCTGAAACAGCATCACGCTTTCAAAAAAAATAATCACCTCTACACTTAATCCATACCTCTTTCTCGAGCAGACCCACAAACGGTTGAGTTCCTCACAGACTCAATGCCTGAGATCTATGGGGTATGTGCTAAAAAATAAAAAAAATCACAAAGTGCCACTAAACACCCATTCTGTAGTCATCCACATTTTATTTTTGAAAAAGCTATGGGTAAGGGCTTTGAAGAACCAACAGGACTCTGCTGCACTCATCAGTTCATTGCTGAGTACACTTCTAAAATGAAACTCCATAATCTTCAGCATAATGCTATAATACTTTTGAACACGAAACCGGGTATTTCTACATTTCAGCAATCCCATCTAGAAATGATCATTATGTGGAGTATAACCCTTTTAAATCATTGTCAACTTTTTTAAAAGGAGAGATTTCTTCCAAAAGGAAGATTTTTCTATTTGATATTTACTGACTACAAGAAATATCAGGCAATTACAGTCTCTGAAGACTGCAAACCATCTTCTAATTACAAAAGTATGTGCAATCCTGTAAATAAAGCTAGAATCAGCTTGGTCTGAAAAAAAAAGGCGGCTTTAGATATCATTACAAACTATTTAGTTACTGAAATGGAATTTTCTGTGCCTGCCAAAATGAATCCTATTCAGTGTGATGCAACAGGTGTTGGAATTCCAGCAGCCGCCTGCAACCCACATCTGGTAATGGTTAGGAGTTTAAAGGGAGTTCTGTAAGAACTGCTTATGTATAAAAACTATTCATCAGTCAAATCTATGGGTCATATTCACCCACCCGCTCGCACTGTGCATAGCTCAGATTTTTATTTCATTTACAAAAAAACGTAATTCTGCTCCTTGTGAAATTTTAGGAATCTCAGGCACTTGTCCAGGTTGAAAGCGTGCAGGGGATTGGCACGGCTACACTGGTGTGTCAGAAAGGTGAGGAAGGGGCTGCAGTCTATAGGTGTGAGTACACCTATATTGGTTCTGACTAGTTCTAATTTATAGTCTGACCACTCATCATTGCAGAAGAAAGAATTCCACCCCCGCCCCACGTCTCACCTACCTAGTAAATAAACTGTATGCAATGCTAAAATTATCAGACAGGTGTCTGGCAAAGAAAGAATACAGGGTTAACACTAAGCTCTAAATACTACTAATTCTTAAGTATTGCTACTCCCAGCTGTGCCTCCTTTTGCCTTTTTTTCCCCTCCCCTCAATTGCAAATTCAAATCAGTAAGACTACTCACAAAAATCAAGAGGTAGGAGCATGCCATTAATAATTAGCCCTTGTTAACTGCCTCAGCTTGAGTGTTATCACTAACTTGTCACAGAGATGGCCAGACTGAAAGGCACAGAAGGTTAATAAAGATTTTGAGAATACATGTGTAAATTGGGCACTCAAAAGATGCTGCAGTAAAAACAAGGCTGCTAATTATTTAGCTTTGCATTAAGACCTGTATGCACTAGATTTCAGTAGAAGGTGGGTGAAAAATAGAAAAAACAAAGAAGTCTGGCTTTAGAGAAGCCAGAATCATTTGTCCCCCCCTTACCAATGGGAAAACATTCACATTGGCCATTATGTACTGCCAGACAAGAATAAGGTCTTAGTTAATTTTTACAGCATTATATTCATGGTAAAAAACCCACACCCATTTCTTTAACTCCCAGTTTTGTTCTCCCTTTGTGTTTCTGTGACAGCCTCCTTTCTGTAACCAGAGATATCTAATGCAGCAACTGATAACTGCAAAGCACGTGTCCTATTGGCTTTGCCATAGTACCGCAGGCTTACCAGCAACAAGGATCGTGTCTTTTAACAGAAACTACATCAGTCCAGATACAGAGAGGTAGAAACAAGACTGATCCCGCCTCCTGGGAACACAGGCATCTCTAGAATAAAGTTACAAGGAAAGGATAATTAAAGAGCACATTCAAAATAAGAATATAATCTGACTAGCGTATAACAGGATAATGATATTGAGGATGTAATTATTACATAGCTCTGTCAAAAAATCTTTATTAATCATCTACAAAACAGGAGAAGCTGGTCTTTCAGAGTAGTATAACATTTTAATTGCTGACAAAAATTACTGAAATAGTACTAAGAAATCATTTGCATGTTGATTTAGAACAGGAATAGAGCACTGTGCTTAATCAGAAGTGGCTATCATTAAGACATTTAGTAAGAAATTATTTTCCAGTCTTCTACTCAGTCTCTACATATGCCTGGTGGAATAGAAGTCTGTCCATAATCTAGTGTTTGGTGGAAGTTTTATACATAAATAAGGGATCTAGAAAGGTTGAGAAGTCTCCACACATTTAAGAGTTATTAAAAATTCAGCTGGACACCTTCCTAACTAGAAACGGGTGGAGGTGTCCTTTTATCATAAAAAAGCATATTAATTTGAGAAATTTGATTTTGCTCAGTTAGGTGAAGACAAATTTCTCATGACAAAAAGATAGCAAGAAAGGGTTAAGGGCTCTCAACAGCTTTGGGCACTGCCTATGCAGATACCATACCCTACCCTGTCCATAATATGCTGAAGTTTCTAAGTGTGCTAACACTGCTCTAGAGTCAGGCTCACAAGCTTCATCCTGGTTTAGCTGGGGATCAGTGCTGCACTCCTATAGTTACCTGTTTACCATTTCACTTACTGAAATACTATCTAAAAAGTTCTGAAGAAACACACAACAAAGCCTGACTGCTGAAAGGACGAAGTGTCACAGACAGAATCTCTTTTTGGGTAGTAGTCCTGAAAACTCTACTGTGTTTAGTTTCCCACCCCCACATGCAGTAGATACTAAAACAAAGAATTAAGTTCTGATATCTTACAGGCCATCTCCAAACACATATTATCTATATAAACAAAAAAATTAGTTATGTCTTGAGGCAAATTGCTACCCTGAGAAATTTAAGATCCTGAAAGAGCAGGAAACTCAGTAAGTCTTGCATATACATTATCACAGAAATTTTAAAAGAAAGTGATCAGAGGCCTTTGAGACTGCTCTGCAAACCTCATCCTCCACCCTTGTGCTTGCTTTTCAGACCACACACAAATGCAGCGGAAGAAACAACCTAAAATAATTTCTGTGAGTTGAACAGGAATGCTCACATAATCACTGGAAATGCTCTTAATTGGTGTGGCTCAGTGGTGCATTTCAGAGCTGTTAGATCTTCTGCTGCTGTGGAACTCTTTTCATGTCCTGGCAATCACAGTCCAGCCAGCAGTTTGTTTATCATATTCAGTATGAGTTTCCGGATCTCCAACAAAGTGGTATTTACTCCGAGGCAGGGAAGACTGCAGTAATCCAGTAAATTCTCATTAGCCTAAAATGCAGAAACATCTGCTGGGGTCATGAGCTGCTTACTTGCTGCTGATGAGCAAAGAATCAGCTCCATTTGAAGCTAGTGTGAACAAAGAATTGCAGGGTTGGGGGGGTGGTGAAGAGACAAACCGGCCTCGATCTTCTCCTGAGCGCAGCTCTACCACAGTGAAGCCCAGGCAAAGGGGGGTGCTGCTCCCTCACCTGGAGCTCCGGTGACCCTGGTGCAGAAAACAGGAATTACAGAAAAAAATGCTTTGACTCAGCCCTCCTGAGCTGGTGAGCAAAACGGTCAGGCAACGCCAGTGTAACAGAAAAGAATGTGCTCAAAGCTCCCCACGAAACACCAGAACCCAGGCGGTGCAAATCTGCCTTAAAATTATCTCTGCCAATTGCTTTTTAGACAAGATAATTTTGCAAGGGACAGATACATTTCTGTGCTCCCTCCCTCCCCCTGTTCCCACCCAGTATCTCAGACCTAGCTTGATCATTTCACAATTCCTCCCAGTTTTTGGAAGGGGAAAAAAAAGCCTCCCCCTGCAAAAGAAAAAAGCACCTTAGGACACATGAATGTTAACAATAGGTCACTAAGAAGTGGCCTAAAAGAGGAATATATAGGTCATAAATACTGCACAAGTTCAGAGAGAACAAAACTAAATCTACATTGATACAAGTTCCAGAAGTGAGATTATTAATATTAGGTAAAATAAAAAGATTGATAACCTGAATAAAAAGAGCCCTTAAGTTGTTTAGGATTCCAACTGATTAAGAGCACGTGACATTGTCAGAAAATAAGTGGAAAATACAAAATAAGTGGTGTCACATCTGTTTAGCTCCTGCTTCAGTGATTCTGCAGTTCTTAGTTGTTGTTGTTTTGTTTGTACAGCGTTAAAGTGGCAGCATCTAATTCTGTGGCTATTTCAAGGTGGAGGAGCCTAAAACACTTCTGCAAAGAGCCAGAACAGAACCACTTAGAAAGAATGTTCAGGAAAATCACAATGGAAAAGTCTCTGTTCACAACAGTTTAAAACCCTTTCCTGGAGAGGCCGAGCTGCTTTTTCTAACACTTGTTCTATCGTTTGTACGAAGAATTACGCAAATGTTCAAATTTAAGGAACAGATCGGCTAGAATGCTCAAATGAATGCCTGTGATTCTTCTGAAACAATGAGCGCACATCTCCAAGCACTTCATTGTTTTGTACACGCAGTTGGCCTTTAGCTCCAGGACTCCCACTTTGCTTTCGGCTTGTTGTACAGAGGATGACTGCCACCTGCAGCACCAAGGACGAAGTGCTTCCCTAAAAGACAGCGCCTTTAATTGCGATCACAGCAAGTGGAACCTTCCTCTGCCACCCTTCTTCAGAGGAGAAAACGAAGAGCATTCCAATTCACTTTACAGTAAAAATTAGTATTGCTGTCTGTTGCTTAAATAACATTTGGGGGGTGTGTGTGTGTGTATATATATATATACACACACACACACACACACACACACACACATACACACACACACAAACACACCCCCACACAATAGTATCTCAACAGTAGGAAGACACTTGGCAGAAGAAGATGGGTTTAATTTAAAAGCAATTCTTAAAAAATTTTTTTTTTTTTTTTTAGACCAGCAATGAGGTCTACCATCAAGAAATCCTAAGAAAGACATTCTGACTTATGTCTGTGCAGAGACAGAATTATCAAGACACTATAAACTTTATTTTCATTTCATCTCTCCTCATATTTAAGAAAACCCCTCTCAATTTTCCAAGTTCCAGATTGACACATTTATCATACACGGGTTAAAGGCGTGAAGGCACACATCCTAGCAATTACCCAAACCTTGGAAAAACAGTTCTATGACCACCTGTTTCATCATATAGAAGCCTTTCTACCAAAATCTCCATCCACCAAAAATAAACGGCTACCAATTTGCAGCTAAAGCATGACTTAACTGCTTAGCAAAGTTCCCCATCCAGTGGCCAGCCTCGGAGGTGCAGCTCCTGTTCCTGGCCCAGAGCCTGATCCTGCTGCGTGCAGCACCCGGGACTCGTGGACCGAACGGCAGCACATGGCACTACTATTAGGTGCAGTTCACCTAACATATTTTAGTAAGACGAAATAACAGATAAACAACCTAAAATAACTCAGTGACCTCCCACTGGCTCATAGATAAGTTGCTGTAAAAAAATAAATGACACTGATATTACATAAAAGGAGTCTTTTTAGTTTGTTATGGATTGATTTCTCATACAGTGTGCTGCACATCTTACTGATCCAGTTACTACAGCTTAATTTACTCCTAACTTTTAATAAGAGGAGACAAGAATCTATTTATACCCTCAGTAATACCAGGACGAAAGCCTAAATAGCACTTCAAGGAGCACAAGATGAATGCTCCAAGTATTTTTTGAGCAGGCCCAAAAGCTTTATGGACACAGCTTAAGCCAGAAATGTAACACTGAACAGAAAATACAAAGCAAAGCTTTTGAAAAATCACAGAAGGAGGTTTCACAGGTATAAAAAATGCAGGATACAGCAACGTCTTTCATGCATTCCATGTACAAAAATGGAAAGTACGTTGAAAAAACCTGTGGCACATATGTTTGTAACAGCACACTCACTCTCAGGCACTTACTCAGTAGTAGGTTTGAGGTTTTTCTCCACATCACAATCTTCTGGCCTCAGCACAATAGTGCCAGTAGGTCACGGCTTGTCGTTGGGACTGGTTAGTGCCTGTAAGTCCATCACTGCACATACTGTGTAGTATGAGCCCTACGTAAGCCCAGATGGAAACAAAAGCTTCTGTAGGAGATCAGTGAAGATATTCAAACATGAAGGCTACTGATACAGCAGTGAAAAATAGTCTTTATTATTAAATAAAGTCCTTAAAGAGAAGGTGTCAGGTTAACACAAAAGCATTTATGTTTTTAATAATTTGTTTCCAAGACAATTAGGCAACAAGTTACCAAAACTTTTCACTTGGTACAAGTGATCAGGCTCCTTCCAAGCATCAACCTCATTATTTGCTGTCCACGTAGCTTTTCCTCTCAGCAAATCCAGAAATAAGGGACAATTAAGAGTTCCTCCAGAAGCTGTTCACTTAGTGACCAATGATCACGCTGCTCATTCCTACAGACCCTCCCGATGTGATCAGCAAGTGCTCAGGACCACATACACAATTCCTCACCTCTATTAAGATATGCTGCCCTCTAAGGTACACTACTTTGGAAAGAGATTCAAATCAGCTACTTGAAGCCAGTTTCAAGAGAGAAAACCATGAAGTTTAAGAACATATAGATCATATTTGCTAAGAATAACATTCCTTATTAGTTACCTTTCAGTACTGTCAAGGCAGAAGGTGATGAGAAAGGTATCAAATTCATGTTAAAAAAAGATGACTCCTTATGGGACAACACGCAGAAGAAAACTTCATTTCTTACATTAGTTAGCATACATACTGCTGGTTTCATATTCTGATACAACTGAAAATTTGGGCAAGTTATATGTTCATACAAGAAGTCTGCTGGCACTGATTTAGTATCCACTCATTAGTAAAACAACACACAAAGTTAGTTGAAGTACCAGTGTTTCACATCATCTAGTCCATGATTCTCTTCACATATGTTTTGGTTATGCAGAGAAACTTCTTTACTAACTTCAGATGACAGGTTCTGCACTTCTGCAAAGCTCCTGGAACAAATGAAACAAGCTAAATCAGTTACTCTGGAGGATAACAACTTCTGTTTAATCCCAAAGGCTGGACATTCATGTCATCCTCCCACCATGGAGCCATCAGAAGAAAAAATGTAAAATGTGAATTTTCTTCCCAAAGGCTAGTATTTGGAGGAGAGGAAGGGCAGTTTGCAGGACAGGGAGATAATGTGGCTTTATGGTCTATTAATCTTCAAAGATATTAGCTGTAATCTCTTCTAGGGAAATGAAGAGAGGAAATTTATCGTGCTTTCTCTCTTCCTCACACTCCCAGTGATATTGCATATTTGTTAACACAATACTTAAGGAAAAAAAACCTTTTCTGTGTTCCCTGCATCTCCTAAAGGATGACATATTTGCACAACAATTATTTAAGACTTCCAGTTCACTTTTTTTGTCTCCTGGAGTTCTCCACTTTCCTACGTATTTGCACTTTGCCAGAGCTATGGCTCCCTGAGATTCTCAGCTAAACTGTCAAGAAAACATCACACTAAAGCTGTTCACTTCACATACACAAACTAAACACTCCAAACATCTTTACTTTGACTGTAGGTAGGGTAGGGATAGAAATACAGGAGTCTGCTATGAACAGAATTAAACTTAGTGCTACTACCCTCCTCAATATATATTCCAGATATAGTCTGGTGAGATTATAGATTTTCCTCTGAACATAGAGCCAATGAGTCTTTTCACCTGGTTGCTGTAAATACCTTTGAATCACTTTATCCAGTTTCTGAGAAACTTCTTCAAGGTCTTTCAGTACATTAAACGTTTTTTCACTTTCTTCTGAGTAGTCTGGCATAATTTCTGTCAGAAGTTCCTGTGTGACAGTTAACTGCTTTTGCAGTTCACCTGCAGTATGAGATGTTGAAGAAATTATTCAAAATGCATTCAATGGCACTAGTGAATACAAGATAATTTAATAGTTGCAGTAACCACAGAAACAGGTGAACTAGATGATGGAAAACTACTGCTTGTTCACCTTTCTCACACACACACACACACGCTATGAAAAAACTTGAAAGCCAAATTATTTTTATATATCTAGACTAACATCAGCAACAGGCTATGAAAATTGCTAATCAAGCTCTCTTTTAGAGTACATCAAAGATTTTTATAAGACAAATTCAACAGAAAAAACAGGTTTTAGACATCAAAAATTCCTTGGGCAGTTACATATATTGCTATTGACATGCACCCTCAGCACAAAATTTATCCAGTCCTCTTCCTTTAGCATTCACAAAACAAAAATATGTATTTATTTCCTTGCAAGCCTTCTTACAAGAATTCTAAGCTCTTCAATAAACCTTTTCTATTTGAAGTGCAAGCAAGATTATTGTAAATGGTTTAAGAATCTCATTTCTTGCAGACCAGCAGTTTAAAAATGTAACTTTTTGTCCAGACTTCAATACAAAACACAAGTGGTAATTTATTAAACATTCTCCGATTCAAGACACAATACATTTCAGCTCTAGTTCTACAGGAAATGTGAGCATGTCTATCCATGTGACTTTATCTCTCAACACAGAAACAAGAGATCACAGTATTTCTACAGCTTGCTTACCCGTTAGGAACAAGAAAGGAAGAGGAATGCCATGAATGCATTAGTTAAAAGATATTGAAACTTGCTAAAGAAAGCGTATGTGAATACTGCCCTAGCTTAGAAAGTTGATTTTTTTTCCTGCTGCAAGACAAAAAAAACTTGTTCAAGTGCAATTTAGTGGTTAAACAGACAAGAATTACCCATAGCAAAACATGTGACTAACACTGCAGCCTAGCATCCATTCAGGCTCTAAGAGCACACAAAATTCCTCCAGTGGCCACAGACAGATCCAGCAATAACAACGTAAGAATTTTAGCATACCAAAAAAACACTATTTCTGAAAGTAAATTTGATGAAGCAAGTTTTCATACCAAGGTATGTTAGCTTATCTCCTTCTATGTGAATATTCTTTATGGGCAATGCATGTGTAGTGGCATCCAGGGAAGCTGCAAAGCTTTTATATTGGTCCTTAAATTTTTCACAAACAGGAACAAGGGGAGAAAGTACTTCCATCTGAAAAAGACACAGGATGAACCAACACTTCTTCAAAAGCAGCTATTTTGTTAGTACAGACCTGGCTCAATACAAAAAAAAAAAAAATCTGTAAAAAAACTCCCACCCAAGTACCATCTGAAATGCTCGTTGACAGAAGAATTAATGAAGTTTATGGTGTGATACTGCTATCATGCTGTTCAATAACTTTTCCTCTACCACTCCAAAATATCTAGGTCAATACCAGTTTCCTTGTTACTGTAACTCAGAAGATATTAGTAACATAGCAGGGAAAGTGTCTTATATTTGATGCTCTGACTGTAGCTAACAGTGTATTCACCAGAGGACAAAAGTCTTGTTTAATTTTTGCAATCCATATTTATTAAAAGCAAACATAGGTTCAGTTTTGAAAATTAATTATTAAAGAGAGCTATCTTTTAATTTGACAAAACAGAACTAACAAAATACTGAAAAACAAGGGAGGGTTTAGCTTCTATGATAACCTGTTATCAAGGATTTCATACAACCAGGCCAGATTGCTGTCTAACATATAAAAATAATTCAAAAAACAGGTGGTGTTCACTTCTCATCTGAGGGTTAGCATCTTGGCTCTAGGTGTAACTGTGATTGTGTAACTGCAGGATGTTCACATGGTTTTAAGATACTTGCATCTCCCGTGCATCAATCACAAACTGCTCTGGCAAGCAGTGTGCTGCTGCTGCCCCTTGCCCAAGAGCTCAACTTCTCCCTCCTGCTGAGCCGCAAGGGACAACACAAAAGGGACAAAGGCATTTGCTTCAGTTACTGGGGAGCGTTATGTGCCACAAAAGGAAGCAGATATTTATTTTGTTTAAGCAGCATAAAATTGTACCCCAGCAGGCCACAGCAGCAGAGGAATCTTCTCTGGATAAAGGACTACTTCATAACTAAGCTTCTTTAAACATAGGAGAAGCATAAATTGTAATGAAGCCTACCTGTTTGTCTAAGGCTTCATCAAGTTTCTGCTCTCTCTCTTGGAGAAGAATTTCATGCTTCAACTCACAGAGCTTCTTGTGTTGTCTCTCCTTTTCTTCACACAACATTAACAAGTTCTTTTCTGTTTTTTCCTCCAGCTTAGCAAGATTTTTTCCTGCCTATTACATAAAAAAATACTCACAACCAAAGTAATGCTACATCTAAGTAGTTAACATTCTGAATTAACAACTATAAGCCTCAGACCAGGTCAGAGAGCTTTAATTAACAGAATCTGAGAGCTCACACAATAAGCACAGTACATTATAGCTAAAGCTCCCCCCTCTATCTTCTCCCCCTACTCCCACTAATATTTTTTCGTAAAGGAAAAATATGCACATACACCGAGTTAACAAAGAACAAAGTCACTGCTACAACCTTGAACTCCAAACACACTCACTCAGTGTTTTCCCAAAACGTCTACATACTCCTGTGTGGTGGGGCTGACCTTGGCTGGGCACCAGGTGCCTACCAAAGCTGATCTATCAACCCCCTCCTCTGCAAGTCAGGGGAATGAGAATATAACGAAGGACTCAGGAGTCGAGATAAGGACAGTTTAATAAAGCAAAAGAAAACAGGAAAGTTTATTCTCTACTTCCCATCAGCAGGCGATGTCCAGTCACTTCCTGGGAAGCGAGACTTAAGTATATGATTGCTCAGAAGACAAATGTAAGTAAAGAATGTCCCCTCTTCCTCCTCCTTTCTCTCAGCTCTTGCTGCTGAGCAGACACCATACGAAGGGGAAGCTCCCTCTGGACAGTGGGGTCAGCTGTTCTGGCTGTAGCCCCTCCCAAGATCTTGCCCACCCCAAGGACTGGGGCAGCCTTGATGTTGGGTGAGCGCTGCTCAGCAGCAGCCAAAACACTGGTGTGTTACCAGCCCCTTTCAGGCTACTAACACACAGCACATAGGAGGCTGCACGGGGAAAATTAACTCCATCTCAGCCAGACTTGACACACCCTACTTCATGAAGAACCAGCACCAGCTGAATAAACTGGCACAGAATTCTCTCTAAGAATTTTCAAAGCAAGTCATACAGTTTTACAACCATAAACACATAAAGTCACAAAAATCTAACTTCTATGGATCAGAAAGCACAGACAAGAAAAGAAACAATTCCTCAACATCATGTTCTTCCACCTGAAACACCAAATACTTGACTGACTCACCTTTATTCTTAGGTAAGTTAAAAGCAGTGTCTGAGATTCCAGCTCTGCTATCAGAGATTTATTCAAACGTTTTCCCTTCAGAAAAAAAAAAAAAGAACATTTTGGTATTTAAACAAATTATTTTTTCAATGTTCAAATAAATTGGACTGAACATCCAATTTGTGCCTAGAATGATCATCTACAGCCAGCTCGATGAAAAAAGTTTGGGTTTTTAAACGACAGCTGTTAAATATACCTCTTTGTTCCACCATTTTTATTAACATTTTTAGTAGATTTTCTTAATACTGGTAGAGAACATGAAGTTTCAGCACCACACTGAATGAGATCCCTAAATAAGGGACTTCAAATTAGGTTGAATCAATGTTAGTTTTCTGAGCAAAAATGTCAGAAAATATTTAAAGATAATGTTATATAATTAAAAAGTATGGACAGGAATACAAAAACAATCCACTTGAGGAGCTGCTACAATTGGAGCCGATTCTTCACCACAGGAAACCAAAAAGCTTTGGTCAGTGGTGAGACACCCGATGAACAAAACAAACATTGCTAGCAGTAGAACAGACTTATCCTCTGACTTCTTCCACGAGGCTTTAGATTATCTCAGGACCTCAAAGTTGTTATCAAGATTAAACAGAAAAATCTTAATTTCACACATTTCAACAGTGTAACAAAGGAAAGCAGTGACACTTACTGCTCTGTTTGGTTTTCGACGTGTCCCTGTAGATCCTTTGCCATCAGATTTTGAAGCAGGAGTCTTTTTCTGGACACTTTTCTCTGTATCACAACAGAAAAGTCATTGCTCTTTTCTATCAACATATATAGGGTGGGACAACATACCATCAGATTTTTACGAGGCAAAGATAATTTCAAAATTATTATGTGTACCAGTAAAGATGACTTGTGCTCTATGTCTGGCTTTGGTGATACTCATGAGATGTGGATCATGAGCATTAAATGACAGTTACAGATAGATGCGATAGATTTTTTAAAAGGGCTGATAATCTAACACCCAGCTGTTACAGGAACAAAGACTTGAGAGTACTTTGTTCTTCAGTATTTGATCTCAAACAAAAAGAAAACAGCACCCAAAGGATACTAAAAATAGAGAGGTTAATTTAAACCCTAAAGATCTATTAATACCTCTGCTTAAAGATACCTGAAATACTTGCAGAGAGATCTGGATAGACTGGAGCGATGGGCTGAGGCCAACTGCATGAGCTTCAATAAGGCCAAATGCCAGGGGCTGCACTTGGGCCACAACAACCCCCAGCAGGGCTACGGGCCTGGGGAAGAGTGGCTGGAGGCTGCCAGTCAGAGGGGGAGCTGGGGGGATTGATTGATAGCCAGCTGAATATGAGCCAGCAGTGTGCCCAGGTGGCCAAGAAGGCCAATGGCATCCTGGCTTGCGTCACCACTAGCGTGGCCAGCAGGGACAGGGAAGGGATCTTGCCCCTGTACTTGGCGCTGGTGAGGCTGCACCTTGATTACTGTGTTCGCTTTTGGGCCCCTCACTACAAAAAGGACACAGAGTTACTTGAACATGTCCAGAGAAGGGCTACAAAGCTGGTGCAGGGTCTGGAACACGCTGTGAGGAGCAGCTAAGGGAACTGAGATTGTTTAGTCTGGAGAAGAGGAGGCTGAGGGGAGACCTTATCACCTTCTACAACTACCTGAAAGGAAGCTGCAGAGAGCGGGGGATGAACCTCTTTAGCCTAGTAGAAAGCAACAGGACAAGAGGGAATGGCCTCAAGTTGCACCAGGGAAAGTTCAGACTAGATATTAGGAAGCATTTCTTTCCAGAACGGGTTGTTAGGCATTGGAATGGGCTGCCCAGGGAGGTGGTGGAGTCCCATGCCTGGAGGTGTTCAAGAGTCGGGTCGATTTAGAGCTCAAGGATATGCTGTAGGTGTGAACTGTGCTAGGAGAATGGTTGGATCTCCAGGGTCCTTTCCAATCTAGATGGTTCAGTGTGTATGAAATAACATTCACCTTATTTGACAAAATCTTTTTGTGAGTACAGAAGAATACAAGGGTTACTCATCATCAAGTTACAGCACATATGTTAAAAATAATAAACCAAAAGACTGAGTAGGAGTGGAAGCTTACCACCAATTGCTGAAAAATCAAGCTGCGGTCGTTCAAGTTTATCTTCATCTAATAAAGTGGACTGCAAGTTAAGTTTCTCACAACTACTCTGACTTAAAGACTTAGAGAGAAGACCTGTAGAAAGAAGCTGTTATCAAACTAAAAGAATTAGAACAGATTCTGTGAAAGTTCAAAAATACACGTTTTCACTAATATGTGGCAAACTTAAGCAAACTTTTACACGTTTACTTTACATACATCATTTGTATACTCTCTAATTTACCTAGAGATAAGGTATTTTGGAATGTTAAATTAATTAACGTAGTTCAACAAGAACACTCGGATATGAAAAGGGGATGTTATTTCCTCAGGATTTTCATATCAAGTTAAGGTCAGGCCCGAAAATTCTTTTGCAATTCTTGCAAAAGAAACAAAAATGAACTGTTTTGCAGACAGGGATTTTCACTCATTCACGCTGGGTTTATTAAAAAGATTCACATTTAAAAAGCAGGGCAACGGTGAGGGCATAGTAAAAAACACCAGTTCAAAGCCTGTGCAGAAGGCAAGAAATATGCTTATTTTAGACAACCCACTCAATTCCAGAATAGTTTTCTATCAGACCATCCAGGCAAGAGCTTAATGCACTTGCATTTACACCTTTTAGTCAATCCCACACAAAGTTTCTTCATTCCCTTTGTATACACATAATAACTGGTAGTGAGGCAAGTAATACAAAGTACTTTTTAAAAACATTTTAGAGTTGTTAAGCGTTTCACAGATTGGCACTACAAATTTCCCCCAAAAAAAGCTTTTAAATTCTAGTAAAACCTACCAGCAGAAGTTGTACATTTCTGAGCAGGAACTGCTCTTGATTTAGCTGAAGAAGATGGTTTACCAGTAGATATGGAAAAGGAATTTGTTGGAGTATCCTGATAATCAAGAAACAGATTAAGACTGAGCATAAACAGTAACTGTGATCAGCAATATACCTCCTAGAATGCTAACAATAAACAATGACAATAATCCCAGGGTGTCTTGGTGCTTTTGCAAGTAACCCGAGTTCAGTCCCAAGTTCCCATCCCAGTAAGCATTTAATACCACACCACGACTCCCTCATAACCCCAACAAACTCAATTTTTTGCTGAGGTCTTGCTGCCCCACACCCCAGCTGCCCCTCACGCCATTTCTACCCTTTGCTGAGCGACGTTTGAGCTCGGCAGGGAGGCGTCCAAGTACCTTCCTGACGTCTTTCTTGTCGTACTGCAGGTAGCGAGACTTCACGATCCTTCCTCCTGAAGAAGGAGCAAAGAGAGCTCAGCCGGGCTGGCCGTCGCGCTTCCCACCTCAGCGCCCGGCCGCGCCTCAGTCAGAGCGGGCTCCCCCCTCACCCCCCGGCTACCTTTCTGCTTAGTTTTCGGCGCTTCTCCGCCCGCCGCCGTAGCGGTAGGGTGGCTCGCAGGCGCGGACATCCTGCAAAGACAGAGCGAGAGATGACAACGGCACCTGGAAACGCCTGAGGAGACGGGCGGCGAGACGCGCCCGCTCCTTCACCCTCTCGCCGCCGCCATCGCGTTCGAACCGCCGCGCAGGCGCAGCACCAGGGCCGCGCGCCCCCTGGCGGCGTGGAGGGATGAAACGAGGCGCCCCCCGCCGGGGCAGCG